AATTTAGTTGTTATAGGCATCTTGATTTTCTGTACATTTTGTTTTTTTAATAATTATTTTCTAGCGATTGTTTTGATTTTACACAGAATATTATACTCGAATAGGCCATTTGCATGATGGCGCAACTTTACTACAGCTACCAGAGAGACTTGCGCATTTTCATTGTTATTCAGATTTTTAATCCGCTTAGCGATTAGTAAAACAATTGGCAATAATTGTGGGCAAAGCATTCTGGTATTTGTAGTTAACGACACCATAATGCAAATCGCGTATAGCGTCGAGCTTAGGATCGCGGCCTTGATTCTCGATTCATTATTTTCCTTTATTTCTTTCTTTTTAACTGAAACGAAGTTGTTATAGTCATGTTGTTTTTTGTGTAGATATTCCTTTAACAATTATTTTCTAGCCGTTATTTTGATTTTTCACAGACTATCATACTCAAATAGCGTCGAACTTAGAATCGCGGGTTCGATTCTCGACTCGATCGCTTCTAAGCGATTCATTTTAAGAGCGTACACAGTACAGAGTATATTGAATACAGAAGCATGGCCAGAAATTCCGGACATTTGAGCCCGGGACGAGTCAGCGGGTTTTCCCACCAAAATAGAGGTTTCTACAAGTTCCCTTGAGGTTTGAACTTTTGAAGATCCAATTTTCTTCTCTTGTGCAACGATCCTTTATCTTAATACAATACTAAAATCGAAAAGTTCAAAACATCGACAAACGAGTATTTGGATAGAACGCCCTGATCCTTGAGTTCATTAGTGGCTTGTGAGGTGCTCGTTTGGAATGTTCATAGTGTAGATAATATTATTTGCTGGAACACAAGGAAAATAAATTGTCAAAAAGGACGCTGTTAACAATATTGGATTTATTTGGATTTCCTACGTGGAATCAAGAATAGTTTCCCTCTACGAATTCATCTATGGAATCTTTCCAGTTAAAACAGATGAAATGTTATTCTCAAATATTTTTTTTGATCCATACATTTCTTTGTAAAATTTACAAACATGTTTTTATGCATTTATGCGAATTACCGCTGCWATTGCGGGCTCAAATGTCCGGATTTTCTGGCCATGGCTGGCAAGTAAAAGCTGTGAGATTGAACTGTGGACTAAGCTTAAGGACTATAGATCAAACAAACAAAATTGTAAGGAAAAAAAATTCTTTTCATATAATATATATTTTATTTAGAATTAGTTGTTGTCTTGTTTAAATATCTAAGTATAAACACGTCAAATCACGGGTATAGTGTGTAAGAACTGGCTTCTAGAATGAGCAGCAGTTCATAACAAAAAAAAACCCTCACAAATAGTTCACAAAAAAAATTCAAAGTAGAACAATAAAAAAGAGAAACACCGGAGCTTTTTTCAAAAATTAAAGTTAAAATTAAGCCTAAAAGCGTGTTGTGGTGTTCGTCCTAAACATCCCTCTCCATCCGTTTCTTTCAATCATCTAAATTGAAGTGTAACTTTAAGGAAAAGAATTCTTATTCCTAACATTAATTTTATATGTTTCTCATTATTTCCCACCTTCTGAGTTTTAATGAAAAACTAGGGTATATGAACAGTTATATGCTGCAAAAAGTTGTTGTACCTGGAGAAATGTCATATCGAGTTAGTTGGAAAAAATCGAACATCTGTTGTGTCTCCTGAATGTAAATGTGTAATGTGAAATTTGTAAGAAAGAAGAAAGGAAAAAAACACCTACACGATGGAATAAAGTTGCTCCATGCACCATTTTCCAGACAAAGTCGGATGGATGCTCCTACCAAGTAGTAACCAGAATCACAAGTATAAAATACCATATTTCCAACCCAGAAATCATTGCCAGTGCGATAGCTATGTATGGGTTTTCCAGGATCGCCACAGCTCAATAGGGCTATAATAATAAAGAAAAAATTGTTTTTTAATTTGTGACCTTTGTTGACTTTTTGTAGTAGGTGGACTGATAGAAACAGTGTGTAATGCTGGTATTAATTTTCTCATTCGCTAATATCCTGAAGTAAACGTTTTTATCATATTAA